GGCTGGCCTCCGTCTCTCACTGGTCACCACCTGAGCTCTGGAGGCATCAGCCATCTGTCAACAAATCCCCAGCTTTCTCTCTGACACCATGCCCTCCCCTGACCCCAGGTCCTCATATCCAAGCACCTAGTGGATACGCAGCTCAGCAAATGGCACCACCACCCACTCCAGTGAGATGCAGCACAGGATCCCTTTCTCATCTGGCAGTGCCTCTTGGCTTCTGGTCTCCAGCTGCTGTGAGCACAGTGACTCCCCAGGAGTCTCTCCTGAAGGTCTCAGCACTGCCACCCCACAGAGCCAGGATCACAGGGGGGCAAGGAGTCTCCTCCTCATGTGACTGTTCTACTGGGCCACTTCTCTGGGCTGTTTCCTCGTTTATCAAAAAGGGACATGGAGCACAAGTGATAACCAAAGCAACTGGGCAAGTCTACAATACTGTTTGACAAATATAAGCCCCAACTCCTTAAAGCAGGCTTTCTAACCTCTTCAGGGGAACGCATCCCAGACCTGAGAGGGGTGGGTCAGAGCCAGGTCCCCTGCTGGCCAGTGGGAAGGGAGGAGCCCCAGGAGAGAGGCGGTGTCCCACTCCAGCTCCCACTGCATAGGTAACCTGATGGGTGCCCAGAGGAGAAGGTCTCAGGCCCTGAATGCAAGCTGGCCTGTGAGCAGAAGCTATGTAAAGCCTCCTCAGCCTCTCTTACCCAGGATAAGTGCTGCTGGAGGCAGGTGCTGAGCGTGCCCTGCACGGGAAAGGCTCATTGGTGGGATCAAAGTGTCTGTCCTCAGGGCTTCGCAGCATTAATTTACTTCTCATAGCAAATCTTCCAAACCAGCTTTGCAAGTAATGTCTAACCTCTCAACTGAAGACAGTAATGTGCCACCACATGCAGGCTTTTCACCCTGGGGCACGAGGGAGGAAGATTCCTGGGCACACACCACTACCCAGATGCCTGCAGGAGAACAGCCACATGAGTCAAAGAATCCTAAGCCAAAGAAAATGTTAACCAGTACATTTCTGCACACTGTGTAACACCTGTTTAAACATCTCCAGACAATCCAACACCATTGCCACAAGGAGCCCGGATAAACCCAGTGACCGATACATCGCCTGGCTGACATTCACATTTATGAATTTCCACCAGAAAACTCAAAAAAACTATGTAGGCTGGGGAGATAGCTCAGTGGCATAAGTGCTTGTCTGGCAAGTGCAAGGTCCTGAGTTCAATCCCTGGTACCGAAGGGGGTGGGAGATATGTAGGAAAAATGAGGCAGAGAGAAAAAGTTTGCTTTAAAACAGGACAGAGCCTTTTCACTAAGATAGCCCTGAAGACAAGAAAGAAAGCCCCTGCTTATCCCAAAGCTGAAGCCAAAGCAAAAGCTCTGAAGGCCAGCAAGGCCGTGCTGAAAGGCGTCCACAGCCACGAAAGGAAGATCCGAACGTCGCCCACCTTCCGCCGTCCCAAGACACTGCAGCTCCGGATGCAGCCCACATACCCTCGGAGGAGCGCCCCCAGGAGACACAGGCGTGACCACTGTGCCATCATCGAGTCCCCCTGACCACGGAGTCAGCCATGAGAAAGATCGAGCACAACACCACACTCGTGTTCATTGTGGATGTCACAGCCAGTAAGCACCAAGTCAAGCAAGCTGTGGAGAAGCTCTATGACATGGATGTTGCCAAGGTCAATGCCCTAGTCGTGCCTGATGGCGAGAAGAAGGCATATGTTCACTGGCTCCCGATTATGACGCTTGGGTTGTTCCCGACAAAGCTGGGATCTTCTAAACTGAGTCCAGCTGGCTAATTCTAAATATATACTTTTTTTCCCAGTAAAAAATAAATAAATAAATAAATAAATAATAAAAATGAAACAGGACACGATGGCAGTAAGACCATAAATTCTTCTGGAAGCCTAGTATGTATCCTAAAATACTCCCTAGGCGGTTGACTTTATCTCTCTAACCTGTTTCCTTCTCCATAAAATGGTTATAAAAATATCCTGTTGGGCTTGTTCTGAACATTATATAGTCCAGCTAATTCACATGACATTATAATAAGTAAGTAATTCACATTACATTGTAATAAGTACACTGTAGTAGAGCTGGAGAGGCACAGGGGTGTGGTGAGCTTCGGTGAGGACGAGTCCACTGGCCCTGGCCAGTGCGCTGACCAGATCTACCCTTCCCTCCTGGCTCCCTGAGACAAGGCCACTCAGACTCATGACCCTTGCCTCTAGAACACATCCCGAATTATTTCACCTAAGCTCTGGAGATATCTAACATATACACTAAAAATGGTCATAAGACTAAAGAGCCCACAGGAGTAAATTTTTAAAAAGTGGTATAGAAGGCTGAGAATCTAGCACTGTCTCACATGTATAAGGCCTGGGTTCAGTGGGTTTGATTTCCTCATACCACCACTAAAAAAACATGTGAGAGGGGCCGGGGAGATGGCTCAGTAGGATAAGCGCTTGACTGGCAAACTCAAGGATCTGAGTTCAATCCCCGGTTCCGCAAAAAAAAAAAAAAACACAAGTGAGACACACTGTGAAAACTGCAAGCATTACTGACACTAGAGGACATCGAAACAAATGGATCGGAAGACTTAATATTAAGTATTTGGCAAATACTTTGCAAGCTGGTCCACAGATTCAATGCACTCACTGTCAAAAGTTCAGTGGATCTCTTTGTAAAAATTAGTAAGTAAATGTAAAACTTCATATGAAGTGCAAAAACCGAAACAGTACTAAAAAATAACAAAGTTGTGTGACTCACATTTCTTCACTTTAGAACTGAACTACAAAGTTACAGTCACCCAGACAGTGTGGAACTGACATGGAGTCCAGAAATGTAGATAAATGGGACAGAACTGAGAGTCTAGAAGCATGCACATTTATGGTCAGTTGACAAGAGTTGAAAGACAGTTCAGTGTGGAAAGAAGTCTTTTTAGACAAGCACTGCTGGGACAACTGGGTAGCCACATGCAAAAGAATAAAGCTGGACCATTTCCCTCACACTATATGTAAAAATTAACTAAAAAATGAGTGGAGGCCACCTAAAGTGAAAGAGCTAAACGTATGAAAATGTAGAAGAAAAGATTACACATAGCTGCAGTGAGACAGACTCTGGAGGGAGTCAGCGCAGAAGATGAGAATCCCTCAGAGCTGTGGCTGGAGGCCACCTGAAGACTCATGTCACGATAGCTGGATTTACATACTTCCCTAAGTAATGAATGGGGTGTTGGGATTACTGATGTCGCCCTTTGAGATTTCCCATGATCTCAGTAGCAGTGGGCCATCTCTCCCACCTACCGAGAATACAGGACTTAGACTACTAAGAATAAAGACAAGGCCAAGACCATACAGATCATCCATCAAGGTTAATGATGTCCCCTATACACCCTTGCTACCACTGGGTCAATATTACCTAAGCGACCATACTTGAAATCTTATTGGTTGATCATAATTTTGACCCACAATGTTCCCACCTGATGATTCTGGTCTATAGAATTTCCCTTGAGAAGTGGGCTCATCATCAACCCACCCCTCCTGTCTTCAGGAGCTGTTTCTATTCCCTATTCCTGGCCTCCATTGTTGGTTGTTTGTTTTTTAGTTCCAGAAATTGAAATCAGAACCTTGCACTTTCCACGCAGGTGCTATGCCACGGAGCTACCTCCCTGGCTCTGTTATTTCTTAGAATTCATTCCTCAACTTCAGGCAATACAAGCTCTGGATATTCAACATCTAACATTTCCCCTATATAAAAAAAACACAGGGATAAATCTTCACGATCTTGTATCGGGCAACAATTCTTAAATATGACAATAAACACATGTAACAACAGAAACAGAAAAATCAGATAGCATCCCAATTTAAAATACTTGTGCTTCAAAGAGCATTATCAGGAAAGTAAAAAGACAACCCACAGAATGAAAGAAAACCATGTGTCCAGGATATGTACAGCCTAACACTAATAAGGCAAATATGGCTTTTTATTTATTTTTAGTTTTTTTGAGGTAGGGTCTTACTGTGGAATTGAGTGTTATAGTGGCCTTGAACTCTCTGTGTAGCGCAGGGTGACCTTAAGCTTGCAGAGATCCTCTTATCTCAGCTTCCTGAGTGCTGGGATCACAGTACTTGCTGCCAATGTTAAACAGGGAAATTTTTGAAAAGAAATTTCTACAATGAAGATAAATGAACTCTAAGCACATGACAAGATGCTCAATACTTCTATCCATTCAGGGAAATGCAAATGTAAGGCATAGTGAGGCACCACTTTACACAATAATTTTTTTTTTTTACAATTGCTGAGAATGTAGAGAAACCAGAACCTTATAAATAGTCAAGGAGTGAAGATGCTCTAGAAAACACTTCAACTGCTCAAGTAAACATTTAGCTATAACTATAGGTCTGGAAATACAGTTAGATAGCTAGACAGACAGACAGATTATATGACTCAGCTCTCTGAATCAACACGGAAGTGGCTGCTCATCCAAGCTGGGGAGGCAGGGCAGCCTTATTCACCCGCCCGCCCGTTCCCAGCGCGTAGCACAGGGCCTGGGTACTACTATGGAGTTGAGACTGGTAGGTTAATATTTACTGAATGAGCAGAGACCTGCTGTGCATGGATTATCTCATCTAATCTTCAAATGAGCCTGGAAGACAAATACCACCAGGGTTTCACAAATGAGTGCTCAGCGACACAGAAAAGGCCAGCACTCGCCCAGAGCACGGGGCAGGTGGAGGCTGGAGCGCTCGGCCCACATTCGGACCCACTTGCCCGCTGTCACAGGCCGAGGTAGCGCAGGATTCGCCCCTTCCGTTTAGGTTATCCGGGGTCAGGTGAGACACGGAGCCCCCGACACATCGGAGCGTCTGTATGTGAGCCCGCTGCCTTAATCGAAGACTGCACTGCCTGATCTGCAGACACAATTATTGTGCGACACAGAGCGCCCCCGAAAAGTCCCCCGTTAACAGAGCCTCGGTGTGGGCGACCATACTCACTTTTACTTCTTCGTGAACGTCGGCGTTTCGGAAGTTTAAATCAGGTTGCTCTGGCAGAAACTGGTGGTAATAGCACTGCTTGCGCACTTCGTCAAAGCGCCAGCTGGAGTTGCCGTACACGCTCAACTAGCGGAGAGACAGACAGCCCGTCAGTGGCCTAGCTTTACTCCTTATTGCAGAAGCCGTTGACGTTGCTTTCAGCTGTGGGATTCCCCATTTGTTCTGTGTTAGTGTCCTCTGCACTTGTTACGCGTGGGCTTGGGCTCTGAGGTTGCATTTTGTTCCTTCTCGTCATTTTGTGTAGCACTGGGTCGGGGAGATGGCTCACTAGAATAAAAGCTTGCCTGGCAAGCACAAGGTCCTGAGTTCAATCCCCGGTTCCCCCCACCCACCCCCAAAAAAAGTAGTGATTTTGTGTAGCACTGTCTTCTGACCTTTGCTGTAGATCTTTGCTGCAGTTTTAACCTTAGCAAGTACTGAAGTTCACGTGCAGCTCTACAAAGTCTGGATTTATCCAGCTGTGCCTGGCTTGGGTCTGGCTGCTGTGCTCAGCTCCTTCCTGCTGCTGCCCTTGGGGGTGAACCTGTTGTGCCCCTCTGGCAAGATGTTCTGCTCCTGGACTAGCCGGGTGGTTCTGTCCCCTACTCTCTCTGCAGGGATTGCAGCTGCAGGTTTCACCTCAGGCCTGTATGCCAGGCCTGAGCTGAGTCTGGAGGAGACAAGGTGGAGTAGGGGGGAGAGGCAGCTCTCCCACACACTCACCGGGCCTGGGCTAGGACGGGATCTCTGCCTCCCGTTACTCTCCTCGTGGTGTGGTTACTCAGAGAGACATCAGCACTACTGTGCCTGGCCCTGCGCAGGCGGAGTGAGGCAATTCTGACTTTTCCTCTAAGGACAGAAGCATTAAGCTACATGAACACTGAAAGTGCTGTGTGTGCTGGCTCACCCGCCCCCAGATGTGGCCGGGACAGATCCGTCCCACAGCTGCTGCGCAAAGAAGAGCGCAGCATGCTGAAGCTCTTGAACTCAATAAGGCCTTCTTGAAGAACGGACCTCGCTAGCCTGTCTTGACTCCACCCTCAGACCCTGGACTCTCATTGGTGAAGACACACAGGGTTGCCAGTGTAGGACAAAAGGACATTCTGCTGGCCTAGCGAAGTCAGCCCAGACACACTGGGCTGTGTATTTCCAAAAAGTTTTCATTACAAAGATTCCCCTAAAAGTTCTACTAGTCCTCAAGAATAAAAATCTAGCAACTTCAAGTGTTGGAACCCAAACGCTATCGCTGATTTCCTCTTTCTAGAAAGGCTTGGGTTTGGGGATCCGGGTCGAGGCTGTCCTGGGGCCCCAAATCTCTAGATGTGCCTCTTCACCTACTCTGTGACCCTTAAATGTGACAGATTCTTGGGCTTTAGCTCAGGTGTTTTGTTCATTTCATGCCAAAGGGAGCACCTGGAATACATTTAAAAACCAAGGAGGGGTGGGGAATCAAACTTTTTCCTTTCAGGGGGAAGATCTAGTCGTATAGGGCTCATATTTCCATGGCAACTGTCCAAAGCTGAGTAGCAGCTGCCAACTTTCAAGAAACACATGCCCTTGCCAGGTTACCAGGTAGCTGCCTGGATACAACCCAGGAGCACGTAGGTGCCATGCGTCCAGCCAACAAAAGAACAGGCTCCAGAGCGCAGCAAGAAGCCAGGAGTGATGGCGCACACCTGTAAGCCTAGCACTCAGGAGGCTGAGGCAGGAGGACTGCCATGAGTTCAAGGCCAGCCTGGGTTACATAAGCAAGTTCAAAGCCAGCTTACACTACATAGTGAACTCCTGTCTCAAAAAAAGAAAAGCTGAAAGAACTCCACAAAACAACTTCACAGAGACAAAGAATCCAAAAGAGAATTGAAAAAGAAACCATGAATGGGTGTTCACACAAATAGAAACTTGGGAAAACAAATGAATGAAAAGTTAACCAACATCAATAATTAGAGAACTACTATACTGGTGATCAGATAAGTCATCACTATTAATTAGATAAATGACACCTCAGCATATTACTATGTTCACATGAACAACAAAAACTATGAAGTCTGGTCAGTACCAGGGATCAATAACAATAAATACTTTCTTGGAAACAAGGCCACTAAGTGGCCCACAGTGGCCTCAAACTTGCGACTCCCTTGCCTCCGCCTCCCAAGTATCAGGGGATGCATGTGCATTGTGTGAGGGAACACAAGCAAATGACAGAGCTGCCCAATAATCTATGGTGGAGTTCAGAATCCAGTAGCCTCACGGCAGTTATACTCCCAATTTTTTTATTTTTTATTCTTTTTTTTTTTTAATTTTAGGGATGGGTCTACAGGGTATTCAGGGTCTCACTATGAGATCAGACTCGCAGTGACCCGCCTGTTTACAGCCTCCCAAGAGCTGGGATTACAGGCATGTGCCACCATGCCCAGTCTCAATTGCCGTCTCAGCATGCCCTGGGGGGCAGGACTGGCAAGGCAGGCCCGGGGATTGAACCCCCATCCCCTGTGCCTGCTTGCAGGCACTTGAATCTGCTGAGCTATTTGGCTGGCTCCTACTCTCAGTTTTGTGGTTTTGTTTGTTTTTTTTTATTTTTAAATCTTTGATTTATTTATTTGATACAGGGTCTTGCTACGCAGCTCAGACTCGTAGTGATCCTCCTGTAACTCTCAGTGCTGGAGTTACAGGCTTGTGCCACCACGCCTGGTCTCGGTGGTGATAGGTCTTTCCAGGTGCATGGTTTTTTGTTTTTGTTTTTTTGGCAGAAATGGGGATTGAACTCAGACCCTTGCACTTACCAAGGAAGCGCTTATTCCACTGAGCCATCTCCCCAGGTCCTTTCAGGTGCGTGGTGCAGCAGAGAAACAGGCAGAATGAAGAAGGGGAAAGGGACTTTATTTTCTTTGAGGACATGGGAGAGAATGTGGGGAAGGATGAGGAATTCTCTCAATTGAAAAAAAGGGAGGCTGAAGCTTTTAGGGCCTTTTGCCAGGGGTGGAATTTGAAGGGGATGTTTATTTATTTTTTAATTTTTTTTTTCTTTGCAGAACAGGGGATTGAACTCAGGCCCTCGTACTGGCCAATCAAGTACTTATGCTGAGCCGTCTCCCTGGCCCCTGAAGGGGATGTTTACTTTTTTTTTCTTTTTCTTTTTCTTTTCTTTTAGGGATGCTTAGATACACCTGAGAGAGCTGACTGGGGGGTCTTCCCCCGAGGCAGCAGGGAGGGTGAAAGGAAACTGTGTCCTGGGCTAAGTCGGAGAAGGGGGAGGCGGTCTTGGGGAAGACAGGCTTTTGTTTAAGGGCATCGGCCATATTAGATAGCCACCATAATGATTTTAACAATTCGTACTAGGGCCAGAACCCATCAGATGGCTGGTATAGTGCACCTGGGGTTCTGGGGCCCTGGTACAGCATGCAGTATTGGGGATCGAACTGGGGTCCTTGCGCTTGCCAGCCAGGTGCTTAAACTGCCGAACTATCTCCCCAGTCCGCACTCCCAGTTTTTTGAGATAGGGTCTTTTTTTTTTTAATTTATTTATTTATTTTGTATGTGTGTGGCCAGTTCAGCCCACCAGGGGGCGGGGCTGGCTGGCATGTGGTGCTGGGGATTGAACCGTGGTCCCTGTGCTTTTGCTTAGCTTAGCTTGTTCTAAGTAGGTGCTTTAGACCACTGAGCCATTTGAGATAGGGTCTTGCTACGTAGTTCAGGCTCATCTCAAACTTGCAGCAAACCTCGTGCATTCTGAGTGCTAGGCTTACAGGCACTGCCACCTGGCCAGGCCATTCCCAATTATTTAATCTACAGAAGCCCTTACAAAAAGGCTTGAAGCTCGATTAACCAAGCATTTATGACATTGATAATGACAGTACAAAGCTGGAAATGGGCTAGTTGTCTGTCAAGTGATGGACAAATAAATCATAAATACTTACACAAGGAGATATTGTACAGCAACAAAAATGTCTGAATCACAGCTACCCACAACTACATGAATAAATCCTGAAGTGAGTTAACTTTTTCTTTTTTCTTTTTAGTACCAGGGATTGAACTCAGGACCTTGCCCTTGCCAGGCAGGCACTTAAGCCACTGAGCTATCTCCCTGGCCCCTATAAATGCAGATGAGGTTTTTATTTTATTTATTTATTTATTTATTTTGGCAGAACCAGGGATTGAACTCAGGCCCCTGGAATAAGCCTGGGAAGCGCTTATTCCACTGAGCCATCTCTCCAGCCCTGCAGATGA